TTAAATTTGGATTGAATATTGTTGGAACATGAAGACCTTCATTATCACTGAAAACTATTATTGGACCAGTTAAAGGATTAGTACCAGGTTTCAATTTCATCGGTCTGATGGTCTTACCATCAATCAGAATTTGAGGTTTGTTTTTGTAGACGAACATCAATCGATTCGTTATTAGGTTAACTACTTTCCAATTGACGATGTCTGTCAAGTTAGCTACACTTGTTGGAATGTCAATAGTTGTCGTCTCACCAGCAACATAAATATCATATGATGTTTTTTTATAATAACTTCTAAAGGAAACACTGTCTAGTGCTTTGTAGTAAGTATATTGAGTGTGTTTGAACTTTTTGAACGAATATGAATACTCAATCGATATAAAAAGTTGAAAGATCGTAATAAGATTTGGAATAAGCATTATAAGTTGTTGGTTTTTAAACTGAATAAAAATAAAAGATAATAAAGTTTAAAGACAAATGATTACATTGAGTGTTAACACATCCCAGGATTTTATAAACTGTTCATAAAGGGAAAGCTTCACTATTCATTATAATATATTCAGTTGCTTTTTTAAGACAGTAGGAGTCAGGCTTAAGTTAACAAAATTTATTGAAAATTTCACCTTGTTACAAGAATAGCGATACCGATCTCCCAAACGACTACACTCGGTAAGAAGAGAGTATGCACTCGGGTTGCACCGCTAGATGCTTATGTGCGACCATTAAAGGGAAATACAAATGATTACAGTGTTTATGGCAGAGTACATATGATGGGGAGATTATAATAAAAATTGGTAATTTAGATGATTTACAATAACAGAAGCAGCATAAAAATTCACATACAGTCAATCCTCCGAGTTTTTTGTTTTTTTGGAGTGCTGACATCTATGTGAACTACAGGGGGGAAAAATTAAATTTTACAGTTTAAACATGCATCAAGTCTAATGATTCCCCTTTAGCCTGTCTACTCTTCTTCCGTCAGGGGGGGGGTCATTAGAGTGGATCAATTGTTTAAAATGTAAATTTAATTATTTCCCCCTTTAGTTCACACTGTTCACGCTGCTGCTAGCTGATCTTTTAATTGATTTTAAACTGTGTTTTTGTTGTTTAAAAATTGTTCTTTCTACATACTAGAGCTTTATGAAGGTCTTGAGCATCCCTATATGGTAAGTTTTTGTTATAAAATATCATAAATGTTTTAAAAAATACATATTAATGGTTACCATTAATAGCCTTAACAATACACCTCTTTTGAGGGTCCTACTTTTAGACTTTAGATGGCATCTGAGTCCTTTTTTCATTATGGATAGATCTGAATTGATTGTCTCCATAATATTAATTTCACGGATTTTGAGCTCTGAGCTTCATAATCATGTTTATTGTTGAGACACATGGTTGTCAGACGATATCCGTTTTTGTTGTGTGTTGAGTGTGTTGTTGCCTAATGCATATTTTATTCAATAGATGGTGGGATCTACCATTCTGGAGACATTTTAACTGAATTGCAATTGGATTTATTTACACTGGACTCTACCTTGGTCTTCACAATTCCTTTTGTATTATTATTTTGTTTGTAACTAATTGTATAATCAGCTGCCAAGCTTAATATGGCATGTAGGGGGTGACTAGAGTCACTCAGTCATATTTTGACTTCATCTTGTACTCTTTACTGATGCTAATAAAGTTCACATAGATGTCAGCACTCCAAAAAAACAAAAAACTCAAGGATTGACTGTAATTGAATTGAATTGAAAAAAGAAAAAAGGACCCTCTCCCATCCAAAAAATTTATAAGGACGAAATTCAAAAGAAAATGGCCTAGCAAAAGGATTAAAGATAGAAACCAGTTCGCTCGCACAGACCACGCCAACTTTCGACTGTATCAGTCGGAAGTCAAAAGTATAAAGTCACTGCACTTATTGATTAATAATTTATCAGCAATAAATGAATTATTCAATTTAGGTAAAATTAAAATTCCATGTCAATCTTTAGGAGATTTTTATTGTTCCATTGTCATTATCAGAATAATCTTTATTACAAGTTATTGATACAAATGGTACTGTGCTTCAACATTGAACTGGTTCATTGGTTCATTTAGGATGCTTAAAGACATTGATTTTGGAGGTTGACTTCTTAGGTGAACTTTTCGGTGACGTTTTAGGTGAACTTTTCAGCGCAACAGAAAACTTTTTTGATTTCATGCTTTTTGTAGCAATTTTCATGATTCTTGTTGATCTTTTGAATTCAAGAAACTCATTACATTGTTTGTTATTATAATTTGAATAAGTTATTAATAAAAATGAACCAAAGAGTAAAGGTAAAAATAACAGCAAAAGCCAAAAATGACCTTTGGAGACGACAATATCAACCTTTTCAGTTGATAGAGCACTTAATGTTATAGCATCAGCATATCTATCATTTTGTATACTAACATTGATCTTGAATTTACCCGATTCAAATAATCTCATCGAGCAATTGAAGATTGATCCGTTGTGATATGGTTTTATGTTGGTGCAATAATTATGTGGACCAGCTTTGATATCTAAGTACTCTTGAGTGTCATCAAGGTTCAGTGGTTTATCGAATTCAATTGTTAAAGTTTCAGGCGATGAAGAGTTGAACATTAAAGGTGAAATTCGATCCACTTTAAAGCAATTAATCACAGTTCGTGTATCATTGTCAATTTTCTTTTCACATATTGAATCGGACCAAATACAGTTCGTGCTTTCACCATACATCATACAATGAATGCAACTTTCGTATAAATTACATAAATTATAAACTTCGTAAAATATTCTATTGGTATGTTTAGTAACTCCGAAAAATCCTGGTGGCCGATGATTGAAATAATTGTGAAGATGGCCATCGTCTATGATCGTATAATTACTTCTATAACACGATAAAAAAGTATGATTTAATTGATTACAAGTTTTACTTTCATTTAAGCGCACATTGATATATATTAAATGCAATCTCAAAAGAGGATATCCAAAAAAGAAAGCTTCAACTTTTTGAATCGAATTATCTTGATTGAAGTTTTTGTGAATCTCAATACAAATCATATAACCATATGATTCATGGCAAAAATGAGTTTGATTGAGGCTATAATTGTAATCATATTCAAGTGGTGGATTATCACTTATTCCACGAGCAAAAATAAAATGATAAGGCCATATTCGGTCAAAATTGAGCTGAACTGAAGGTACAGTATTCTTATTAGAAGAACAATTTTTATAAGTAGTTTTTAGGCAACTACGAACTTCGGATCTTAAATGGTATCGCATTAAGGTGTAATTACTAGCACCTGAAGCACATCCTTGTCCAGTTTTGTCAAACAATGAAATAAAATCATCGATGAAATATCGAGTATGAACCAAGCTCTTGTTGGAAGCTTCTTTTGTAACTAAAAGTAAAATTTTTTCGGGTTTATAAAATGTTAAGCAAATAAAAATTGCTCCAGTAATTTGATTAGTTTGAAATTCTGGTCGATTATAACGAATCTCAATTGCACTCGAAATAAGTTCAGTTCCTTTGTCGAGACACAATCTTATAATCGATATCTCTTGAGTAATTTTTGCGGCCTTTTCATTCCAAATACTTCGCTTTATTAGAAGGTACAATTTATCGTCAAAATGAATATAATCTGTCATTTGCCATTCTCTGATGAACTTCCAATCATCTACAATCCAAGGTAAGGATCGAAGCACAGAAACCTTTGCATTTTTATCATCGAAATGCAACAATTCAATATAATTCCACTCAGGAACTGGTCCTGTTAAATTAGGATTGAATATTGTTGGTACATGAAGAGCTTCATTATCACCGAAAGCTATTATTGAGCCACTTAATTCGCCAGAATATTCCATTTCCTTGATAGTCTTTTGATTAATCAGAATTTGAGGTTTATTTTTATGGACGAACATCAATTGATTTTTATCAAGATTAACTACTTTCCAGTTGACGATTTCGGAAAAATTAACTACACTCGTTGGAATGTACATAGTGATCGTTTGACCAGCAACATAAATATCACACCATGTAAGATTGTCCTCACTTCTAAATGAAACACTATCTGGTGCTTTGTAGTAAGTTAAATGATTTTGTTTGAATCTTTTGAATGAATATGAATAATCAATCGATATAACAAGTTGAAAGATCGTAATAAGATTTTCAATGAGCATTATAAGTTGTTGGTTTTTAAACTGAATTAAAATAAAAGATAATAAAGTTTAAAGACGAATGAATACATTGAGACTAAACACATCCCAGGATTTCATAGACTGTGCTTAATCAGAAAACACAATCCATTGTAATACTTGTTAGCTGCTCGGATAATAGATTGTACGGTTTAAAATGTAAAACAAATGATCTACTAGGTTTGAAAGAATCGAAGGACTTAACAAAATTCTGTAGATATAGTTTCATAAATCATTGCGCTTGCTGTCCACCTGCGAAGGAATAGAAACTTGAACGAGTCCTTATCATTAGAAAAATATTAAAATTGTGACAACTTTTCTTTATTTAACTCATATTTTTGTCTTAACACAAAAATGAAACAATGTTGAAAATAAAATCATAACGAACTTAAGCGTGGTTCATCGCGCGATATGCACACCGGGCTCATAATGAACTTTAGTTTATTGCCGCACTCATTTGATGTTACTCAATCAAACCAGCCAGCTCACGATTTTATTAACCACCAAGCGAGTAAATGAGTTGCAATCATTCATTCATAAAAGTGATTTGTTAAAGAAACCACTAAACAGCTAGATTTTTAAGACAATTGGCAAAACTTTTGATCTCAATTTATACTGTGATTCGCGATTTGCAAGAGTGTTAAATCAGTTTTTACAGCAACAGTTCTTTAAAATATCTTTGCTCAAAATTTAATCAATCAATAAGTTCAGATAAATACAAAAGTTATTGACCATTCAAACAATCGGATAAGAAGCATAGCCAGTAATCCTACACATGTTGTTACCTCTGTACATTCTGAAGTAACCCGATAAACCGAAATCTTCACCCCAACCGTTCTTGAGAATCCAATATGGAGTACCGTCTTCAGAACCATATCCCACAATAACTACACCATGGTCAAGATCTTCAGGGTCACTTGAGCACTCGTCGGTATTAAAAATACCAGATCTAAAGGGGAAAAATGTTGAAAATGAAAAATTGCCTTTCGTCAATTGCAAAGATTAACTTACTCATAATCCTGGACTGGATGAGCATCAATGGCGGCTGAAACAACACGTTCAGCAACTGCAGATAAAAGAGATTTCTCATCAGCTTCTGGAACATTAACAAAAGATGAGATTGAAGCACCCTTGTTTGAGGTAGTGTATCGACATTTGAGATAATCTTGTCCGTCACCAGAATGTTCAACAAGTTTACCGTTTTTTGAGCGTTGGCTGATTCGATAAAAGCAATGGCAGAGAAAGCCCAGCATGAACCACATTGCTGTTGATTTTTGACTTCACTAACAATTCCCTTGGTTCGCCAATCAACTGAGGCTGGAACTTTGACGGTGTAGTTTACGTTGTGAACGAGAGGAGCGGGTCGACGAGCAGGCTTGAATCCAAGATGGTTTGCTTTGAATTCCTCGGCGGTCTGCAACAAATTTGATGAGTTAGATTATTTTTTATTAAATTATTTGATAAATTCTTAAGCCTTGAATTCCACAGTTTTCAACTCACCAAATCCGAGAACTTTTTGACTCCTAATCTGTAGGTAACTTCATCATTGGCTGCTCTTTTATTGTGAACCTCGATCCTTTTTAGTTTCTGGGAAAAACATTTCGGTTTCTTCTTCAGCTGAATCATAAGATTTGCCGTATTTAGTCTTTAGACAATGAAACAGGAATAAGAATCGCTTCACGAATCTCAAGTCAGTTTGATAAAATAGACTTACCTTGAATGATTCCCATTGGAAGTCAAGGGAAAGGCTGGCAGCAGCGGTCAATGCAAATAAAGTAACGAATAAAGCAGCTCGAATCATTTGATTGGTAGTTGTTGGGTGAACAATAATTAATTATTAGACTAATGATTCTTATGGACGTTGGCTTCTCCTTTTATATGGTGGACTAGTCTGTGATTAAACATTGAATAAAATTGTGATAAAAATAAACAACAATGAGTTTAAATGTAACTTTGTTTTAAATTACACTCAGTACTCAAATCACCCAAAATCACGAGCTTTCATTAAGCAATCACGAAGATGAGACTTTGATTACAAAATTATTCGGAATTATTCATTTTAATTGATAATTCCATTGTTTCTCGCACTATCTTACCAGAAATGATGAAAACTTCAATCATATCACTAAGATTTCATCTGAAATTAACTGATCTATCGGAGATAATTCGTACGGAGATCGTACTTTACACTTGGTTCACATGTAGTTTTATCACAAATCAGTAAACTCAATAAGCAAATGTCAATTTATCGTAACCTTTGAAATTTTCACAAATAGCAAGTATTAATACAATATGCAAGTACTGTCTCTTTTTATTAACAACTTTGTTCTGATTTTATCGACTTATGGTCAGTCGGTGTTGCTGAATACCCAGCTCCTGGATCACTCATATAATGCTCATTCAAATCTTATATCGATCTCGCAACTTGATTTATCAATTCAGTATTCATATTCCTCCAAAAGATTTGAACAAAATCGATATACAATACTTACTACAAAGAACTAGAAAGTGTTTACTTTAAAAGTTTTAACGACTACAGAAATTTTACATATTTTTATTATATGTATTGCGATGTTATCAGTTTCAATCAAGACCTTGTATGCACAATGGAAACGCAGGCTTCAAATGAAGACAATTTTGATCCGATAGAAACTTTTGACATAAAATCGTTTTGACGTAAAACAATATTTACTTTGCATTGATAAACATTTTTTTAAGGCGCTGATATTAATAAAACTGGGCAGAAAGTTAGAAGATTGTAAATTCATTTGTAAATTCATTCAAAAAATTCGATTTTAGCCTGAATCTGTTCTATTTTCACTTAAAAATTTGACATTTTATTTAAAAACGTTTTACTGGGTGATAGAAAAAACATTTGAAAGAATTTAAATGATTATAATTTTCGAATGAGATACAATTGAGCTTAAATATGGTAACCAGCAGCTCGATTGATTGCTAGACAACGTTTTGGCCATGACTCGAGTGCGCGATTGACTTCGTCAAGCGGTATTTTTTTCAGTTCTCTCCGAATGGCGTTTTTGAGCTGTAAAATATTTTCACATTCAACCTTCTTCAAAGCTGACTTGAGTTTGCTGAATAAGTAATAATCACATGGTGATGCGTCTGGTGAGTAAGGCATCCATTGGTTAGGTCGAATAAAATTTATATTTTTAGTTTCGAGAAACTCAATTGTCTTTTTGGCCGTATGAGCGGGGGCGGAGTCATGATGGAAAATGAAGTCCATTTCAGGGAATTGTTTCTGGACTTCTTTAGCAAAAAAAGGTTTCAAAATCTTGTTAATATAAAATTCACTATTGACTTTGCATTTTGGTGGAACAAAAAATGGCCTGAAAATACCTCGACTCGAAAAAGCGACCCAAACCATGATTGATTTTGAAAAATTTCTTGACGTGAAAACGTCAGCTTCATCACGACTTGACTCTTTATCCAAATACTGTATCCGTGTTTGGCCACTTGCATCATCTATTCGAACTAGTGTTTCATCACTTGTGATGTAATTCTTCCATTGGTCATCCTTGAGAAGCTGAAACAAGGCAAATGACCGTTCTCGCCTCCTTTCGGCTATGGCTTCAGTAATGAAGTGACCTTTGTCTTTTTTCACTGTTTTTTTGCCTAATGTTTGATGAATATGGTAGTTGATAGTAGGCTGAGTAAATCCAAGTCTTTTGGCCATAGTCACTTGAGGCACTGGATTGTGGTCATTCACGAGCCGTTGAAGTTCCGCAAGTTGATTTTCACTAATTGTTCTTGGTCTTCCTCGTCTCTCATCACCAGTTTGTTGATCATCTTTTTAAAATTTTCTTTGTTATTTTTGATATTGGATATTGTACCAACAGATACAACTATTCCTTCTTTTCGTAATTTATTTTTGATCTGAGGAATGGACCAATTTAAGGCTAAGAGACTACGAATTTCACCTTTTACTTCGGAGTCAATTTTACGCACCATTTTAATCAAAAACTAAACTAAACTGACATAATCAGAAAGAAGAGAAAAAATCCTTTCTTTTAGTAGCCTGATTGTCTAGACATGTCTCGTTTTTAGCCTATGACAAAAAAACAAATTCTTTCAAATGTTTTTTCTATCACCCAGTACATTTTGTTTGATTGTCGAAAGTAAAAAAACAAATCTATCAAAAATTCACTTTTGTTTACTTCGAACCTATAATAGATCTCGAATTGAAACCACGCTTTCGACTGATTAGGCTTGCAAGCGGAGCAAAGTTAGAAATATAAAAGTCACAGAACTTATTGATTAATCATTTACCTGCAATGAATTCCTAAAATGCTACAATTTCTGTAAAATTGAAATTCCAGGGTGAATCTTATGACGATTGTACTTCAAAACTTAACTGGTTCATTTAGGTTTATTCAAGACACTGGATTGCGACTTCTTCGTTTAGCGTTTACTTTTCATCACAACAGGCAAACTTTTTGATTTCATACTTTTTACAGCAGTTTTTGTTGATTTGCGATTTTTAGTGCTCTTCAAACTGGGGTTGGAGACTTGACTTTTCGATACATCCAATTGTTTTGATACAGATGGAATGGAACTTCGAGATTTAACCAGTTTACTCGATGGTTCTGTTTGAATTGTCGAGTCTTTTGTAGTTTTCATTGTAGATGATATTATTTGTGATTTAACACGCGTTACAGTTATAGCTTCAGCGAATGCTTCTCTT